GATAAACGAGAAGAAAATTTGTCTAGAACAGATCCTATAACAGAATCTTTACTACTCTGTGCTGTTCTCAATTTATTTTTATGTACATCTCATAATCTTTTGTCTCAATAAAGTTATTATTATTATATATTATTCATGATTCTATTGGCAATGTGCTATAACCATATCATTAATATTTTACTTATTGGAACCTTATTCCAATCGATCAATAAACAATTAACAGTTTTACATCAATGATAATAAATAATTAAATAAGATATCGACTGATTAATTGAATCAATAATTGATTAAAAAGCAAAATAAGCATACAGAGATAATATAAAAATGAATAAAGTGTGACTCATTGAAAAATAATTTTTTTCACGCTGCGTTCGGAGAGCATTTGCTATCTTCAGCGTTATTGTGTTCTCAGTATTCTTATATCTTCAGTATTAAACGTAAAAAAGTATTATAATAATGCAATAACACATTTAATAGTGCTTAATAGTAATCATTTTGAAAGCGTCACAGCGTTTTGACATTATCATGCCTAGTTCGCTTGGGTTTTCTTTCGCATAGATCATTCGCGTGAATACGAAGTGCTGCGATGCGAGAATTTTACTTCTGATATTTATCGGAAGTACATATCGGAAAAAAGACAAGAAGCCGAATCAAAACACAATTTGCTTTTCAGGGGAGAACCTCTAGCTCTATAGTCTATTTTACGCGAGTTTCATTCGTTTCACGGAATGTATTTGTATATACTTTACAAGTTTTTCGTTGACGATGTATAAATAACTAAAGAAAAAAAAAACAGAGAACAAAAGACGTAAGCTGATCTATTTTTTTTTGTTTTACTTTTTTTGTTTGATTTCTCGCAATTTATTTCTATCTTGAACAGAATAGGTTTCATACATTCCGTTCAACAACTTGAGTTTCAAGATTCTAAGATCTTAGTTATCTCATAGTTATCTAGACTAAGAAACAGTTATGGGAAAAAGATATTTAATGAGCGGAAACTATTCGCGTGCTAACGCGTGCGAGAAACACAGTTGTGGATTAGACGAATTGTGACGAGGAATGTATGATTTTGCTGCAAAGGACTTCCAAATAAAATCTAGAATTCAAATCAGATTTTGCAAGTAAACCTTTATTAGCTTCCCGATACTTTTGATTATAACCTTATAGGCGCATAATATTATTTAATATTTTAAGCATATTCTTAGAAATGTACATTTAATGCACTTTTGTTGCAATAAAAGTTTTAAAGCACCGGATTATTAAAGGCGTTTGTAGGCGTCAAATCGTAAATATATGATTTTAAAACGCAATCGTTTCTTGCAATATACATCGCGTCTAAATAAAAATTGCGTTATCATAAATTTCTTTTTGTGTGGCTTCTCAGTGATATCTGCAACGTCATCTATACATCTCGGGTGTAACACATTCGTTGAAAATGTCGATAGTATAGATCGGGAGAACTTTAAAATAAGAAAAGAAAATTTATTGCTGCTATACCTACTGATTCCATTTTTCCTTGATAGACTCTTGGCGTGTCGAGTGCTTTCCATTTCGGGTGCATTTGGAGAGACACTATCAACGCTATTTACATCATTCTATCTTCATCGTTCAGCAGACGTAAAACAAGGATAGAATTACATAAATAGTGCTAATAAATTGATGACACAAGTTGACGCAAGTAATATAATTCTCTCCTTGTTACTCTATGGATGCCAAAAAAAAATTAGTGCTGTCCATTTAGGTCCAGATTCAATTTAGTTCCAGATTCAATTTATTTTTAATCTCTTTCCAATTAAAATTGAAAAAATATGAGGCATAAGTTGAATCTCAGTTAAGAATTAACAGTGAATTGTGGAATTGAGCTTTAAAGATACAAGTCGTTATCTTTGTTATTCCACTGAATCTCAAGAAAAATAAAATGATACTTATATCAACTTGTGTCACTAAATAAAAGGCATCCATGAAAAATTGATTGTGTTATTAACTCGTTTCTATCAACATAGTTTAATTTTAATTAAAGTTGAATGGAGAAGTTAATCTACTGCATTGATAGAAACAGATATAAATGGAAAACATCTATGTTGCAAAATTATATATATATATA